GGAAGCACCAATCAAAAAAGAGCACAAATGCATTCCATACGTTAGCATGAGCAGCAACAATGCCAAAGAACGAACTGCATTTGCCCCACAACACATGAGCAGCAACAATGCCCATATCTACCAAAGAACGAACTGCATTTGCCCCACAACAAAGTGCTGGAAGACCCTTTGCAAAACAGTATTAGGACTAGGTATCTCGGTCCCTTGCAGTCTAATACATGTGCCCTTATTGCACAGCACATCACTGTCTAAAAGGGGGCTGAATGATTAACTACTAATGTGAAGCAGACATACCAAAAGAGTCCTCTTATTGGAAGTTTTGCTGAAATTTTGGGGGAAGGGATAAGCTATTGGTGTTATTAGGAGCTACTTTCCATTGCAAACAAAAGCAATGCAGGTGGGGGGAAAGACAAGTTTTCATCAGGGCCATTATGAGGCTAAGTCTCTTTCCTTCCCTGGCTGCCTGCCATAGTCCTGATCAATCCACAATAGAACCAACCATTTGAAATGTGTTTATAACAGTATGTTGTTGTTTAGTCGTTTAGTCGTGTCTGACTCTTCGTGACCCCATGAACCAGAGCACACCAGGCCCTCCTATCTTCCACTGCCTCCCGGAGTTGGGTCAGATTCATGTTGGTAGCTTCGGTGACACCGTCCAACCATTTCATCCTCTGATTTCCACTTCTCCTCTTGCCTTCACACTTTCCTAACATCAGTGTCCTTTCCTGGGAGTCTTCTCTTCTGATGAGATGCCAAAGTATCGGAGCTTCAGCTTCAGGATCTGTCCTTCCGGTGAGCACCCAGGGTTTATTTCCTTTAGAATGGATAGGTTTGTTCTCCTTGCAGTCCAGGGGACTCTCAAGAGTCTCCTCCAGCACCGCAATTCAAAACATCAATTCTTTGGCGGTCAGCCTTCTTTATGGTCCAGCTCTCACTTCCATAAATCACTACGGGAAAAACCATAGCTTTGACTATGTGGACTTTTGTTGACAAGGTGATGTCTCTGCTTTTTAAGATGCTGTCCAGGTTAGCCATTGCTTTCCTCCCAAGAAGCAGGCGTCTTTTAATTTCATGGCTGCTGTCACCATCTGCAGTGATCAGGGAGCCCAAGAAAGTAAAATCTGCCACTGTCTCCATATCTTCCCCTTCTATTTACCAGGAGGTGATGGTACATATTTTCTAGTCTGGTCAAAGTTTTTAAAGGTTACAGGCTTGTTCCTGGAGAAGCAAGCTCATTGGGGCACTTTTCACTGCCTGTTTCTTTATATTATTTACTTCACACTGATTTTACCAGTAGAATTGGCACTGCTCCCAAACAAGGCTTCCCATAAATATAGCATAGCATCAGCTGTCATGTCAGTGGGAGACAAAACATTTGATATGAAAACCCTTTAATAGAAATGGAAAATAAAATGATAAAGGAGAAATTTTATTCCACATGCTTCATTGGTATATCTTCCCCACTTTTGACAGTAAAAGGACATGATGGCATTATCAAACCAAGTTTTTGTGATTTATATATAGCCTATGTGTGTCAGAATGAAAGAAGGAAATAGTCAATACAAACTGTGAACCTATCCAAGGTGATTCTTACTAAAGGGTGCAATTAAACACAGAGATACATT